CCACTTGACTTTCTCACTCTTGCAATCCTCTCCTCCTCTTTATAAACAAACTAACATCTTCATGCTGATTTAGTTTTAAATGAGAAGCAATCATACATTTCTATCTATCAAGCAGTATCAGTCTTCAAAGAAAGATGGAGCTTCATCCATTCATTCAACAAGGATTTATTGGATTTCTGCCAACCAAGTTACAAGTTTGGGATCTAGAGGGGAATATGAGCAATTACAGGCAATTACAACAGAGCGAGATAAACACATGACAGGAAGACACAGAATTCTCTGAAGCCCACAGAAGGGACAGTTTATCAGACTTAAAAGGATCAGCAAAGATTCCCAGAAGTGCAGTTAGCTGAGAATTCAAGGGACTGTGTACTTTTGGGCAACAACACCACTTCCCACAACGTACTGTGCCAGGTACAGCCAATCCAGTTGGTTCAGCCACTGAGACTCAGCATTTTAGTCCAGATGGAACGAGTGATAATCTTACCACTGCACTCACATAACCCATCGATTGGCCACAAGTCACTCAAGCGCGATGTTCTGACCAGATGGCCACTTTCTTTTATTTCTATAGTCTGCATTCTTCTGTCCTTGTTCACTATCTTTACCAGTCTCCTACTTATCAAGCTTTTTAACTCAGTCCAACAGATATTTTCCAAGAGCCCACATGAGAAGGGGTGAAGCAGGATGACGTGGAATGACGAATGCTGCATGTAGGGAAGGGAGGCACTGAGGGTCACCACAGGGAGCAGGGGCCACTGATGTGATGAGCTGAGAAAAGCCATCTGACAGCCATTCCCCACAAACCTTGCAGAGTTGGCCTCACACTAACAATCCTGTTTGTGAAACAAATATCCACATGTTGCATTTATCTTAGGTTTAAAATGGTTTTCTAAGCCCTGAATCTGGCCTATTTTGAAGACATCAAATCCCCCTCCCTGAATCCTTTTCTTCTGATCCTCTGAATAGTCTTCCTAAAAAATCATATATCTCCTGCTTCCAGAGAACACTGGTATTTTCTTAACTTATTTCTACATATCACTGTTGATATACAGTCACAATCCTGAGACCAAAGACAAATGCTGCCCAGTTGTGATTATCCACTCTCCTAAAATCATTGGATACTCCACAGGCTAAGTGAATGGCTAGATGAGATTACTTTTTAATGTCTCTTCCAAATCCTGCGTGTTTATGATTTTATGATATAATTGGAGCCATTTTTCTATGAAAGCTATAGGTGGATAAAAATTATTCCAGCCTCAAATGTTATTATAAAGGAAAAATGGATCAGCATTTCAATAATATTTGGATTTCCAAAGTTGCCAACATAACCTTATTGCCTATGGGCAAGACCACAGCTGCGCGCATAAGTAAACCAGGCTGTGGTGTTACGTTACAATGAAAGACACTCTCTTCTACTTCAAGAGATCAACTAAACACAAAACTTATGAAACAAATTTAAGAAGAATAACCTAAATGTTTTGGATTATATGACACTGCAGTATAGGTAATTATTTTCCTACACTTCTCAAAAGTGAATCTTCATGATGTTTTGAGATCTTAGTCTAGAAAACAAGTAATTGCACTTCATCTTTTAGGCTTTTTGAATAACATTCCAAATGCATAACAAATCTATGGCCATGTTGAAATGCTACTTAACCTCATACAGGTCTTTAGTGTACCATACTTTATACATCCAAAATGGAGAACCTGCCTGGGATACAGCTCAGCAGTACAGTGCCGACATGTAAGTGTGAGTTCAATTCTGACTACCAAAAAAAAAAAAAAAAATGGAGAGTTTGTCAATGAGATACACATCTTCACAACACATCGCTCAATCTGTAGCTCAAACTTGTCCAAAGCACAAAGAAGACCAGAAGCCCACAGGGCTCAACCCCTGCACCAGGAGACTCTAAGGGGAAAAGCCACTGTAGGAAACCATGTTCTTTCAGGCCAACGTTCTCTTCTACTGTTACATAAACAGCTTTAAGGTTCCAAGCAATTCTTAACAGCAAAGAGTTAAACATCTCGGCTCAAAACTTTCTAGATGTGTGAATCTGGCACACAATTTAACCTCTCTGGATATGAGTTTCTTAGAGAGAGAGAGGAGAGTTTGAGAGAGATTTTCCTAATACCACCTGCCTCAGAAGATTGTCATACTGCAATAATTTCCTCACCTCACCTGGATCTCTAATTAACCCCAGAACTGGTTACTTTGAAGAATTCTGAAAAGGCTACTGGAATGTAGAAAAACAATGGAGAAGCCACTCTATTCTAAGGAGAAAAGTTTTGTAATTGCTGTGGCTCAGTTGGTTTAATTAAGTCTGGAATTTCCAAGAACAAAAGACAGAGCTTCTTCATAGGACACCTAAGATAATGAAAAAGAAAAAAAAAAAAACCAACAACAAGAAGTATCAGGGTGAAAAGCTCTAAGAACTGGCTCTTACGAAGCAGAGTAATTTAGGCAGCTACGTTAGAAATGCTACAGAGCAGTCCGATAGGGCCTGGCCCTTGAAGGAGCCAGTGCAGAAGACAGAGATCTTACAACTGTCTGGGAGACAGACACCTCTGCTGTAGGCCAGTCCTCAAGACAAAAGATGAAAGGAATGCACTCACATGCCTTCCTAAGCACAAGCATCAGGGATTGATATTCTAAATAGGTATGTATCACCTTGAAGAAGCCAGGAAGGGCCCCTAACCCAAGTCCCTACAGGAAAAGACCCTGTTCTGTATTTATGCTCCCTTGCCAAGTTACTTGCTTCCCATTAGACCCCACTTAATCAATTTTACCTGAGCACTTATACTCATGATTTTATTGGTTAGCCATAGTTTTGTCTCACCTCACGCCCACCTTGCAATTTCCCATGTTTTCCCATCTTAAACCCACCTCAACTTGTGGATTTACTCTATAAAAATTCCTAGAAAAGGCTGGGTCCATGGCAACCCACTCAGGACCCTTTCTGTCTTTCTTTTCCCAAAAAATACACCTGCTCTTAACCTCCATTGTTATTAAAATTCATTCTCCCAATTTTAGAAAGCACAAACTCATCCTGGACACCTAGCAGGTTGGGAGTTTCTTGCCCCTGCATCAGAAGCACTAAATCACAAGATTCCTCCATTGACTACAACCTAATTTATTATATTATTCTGTTTCTCAGCATTTAGATCTACTATTAAATCCAGTCAACCACCTTTGAACTCTGCATAAATTGGAGAATGCAGAGATGCAGAGAGGAATAGAGAAGAAAAAGTAAATGAAGCCCAGTAAGAATTATTAAATAACTGGACAACAAAAAATAAAATAAATAAAAAATAAAAAAGCTCTGCATGGTGGCTCATGCCTGTAATCCCAGCACTTGAGGTAGGAGGATCATTCCAAGTTTGAGACCAGCCTAGGCTACAAAGTGAGCTCAAGGCCAGCCTGAACTGCATAGAGACCCTGTCTCAAAAAGACAAATTAAAAAAAAATAATAATAACTGGACATTTGAATGAATGCTAGGTTATATATGTAGGGGCCTACAGATTGAACCCCTGCACATCCCCAAGATTCATAGCTACTATATTTGGCAACTGTCACCCAAGCAACATCAGTCTCATCAGAAAGAGAATAACCTGACAGCAGAACTGGTTCAGAAATTGTGAATCATTCTGAAATAGCCAGACAGGCCAAACTACATCAACATTACATTTAAATAAAGTACACACACACAACCACCAAAATGAAGTGATGACTTGCCTGCTCTCCCTATCAGGCCTGCTTAGGATGCACATCATTCATTTTAAAAGGTTCCTCGATCTCTAATTTCCATTGGACAGAGTCTTCCCCAACCGTACCTTCAAGGTCACTAAGTTTACTGCCCTGGTGGATGCAATCTGGGCACAACTGTAGGGAAGGCCCAAGCTAAAGCAGATGGAGAAGGCCAGTGCCACACAAGGTAAAGGAAGCCATGGCTGTCCCCTCCAAGTGGCTGCCAACTCCAAGACATGCAAGTCTCATGCTGCCTCTATTCTTAACACGAGGTCCTGAGCAGTTTTGCTTCCTGCCACCCATCACACTCCATCTATGAATGCTACCCCAAACATCCTGAATTTTCTGAAACTCAAAGTCAATAAGGATGCCCCGAACCCCACTGCCTGTGAAGTGCCAGTGTGACTCCAATCAGAGCAGGAGAAAACACGCTCCACCCCTCTCACTGCACCATCCCAGGTTGACTTCTATCTCCAGATCAAGAATGTCTCCTTTCTTCCACATGTTCACGTTTGCCCAAGCAGTAATCCTGTCACTGGGCTTTCGGTTTCACACAGCGCCTTGAGTTGGGATGTGTTGAAAGATCTACTAGGCAAATTAAGAACTCACATGATCCTACCCAATACTCAAAATCTCAGTGGAAAAGAGGTTTGTTTATAGAAGCAGCGTTTTTCCAAAGGGCCCCACCTCGCCACCCCTTCACACTCTGCATCCAAAGCTGTGGGCTTCAGCAATGCCTCTGCCTCCTCTTGGGCTATAGAAAGAAAATCACAATGGGAAATCTGCCGCCCCCTCAAAGGAAGCAGACTCAGAATGGCCTGTACCCTGAGCATCCTGGGCACTCTGGGAAAAGGAGAGGTTGTGAGCGTCCTAGGTGGCAAAGTCAGGAAGAGAAGAGGGTGCCATCTGGACAAGGCTGCTTATGGCTGTTGTCTGACAGAGCCCTACTTTCTGGCCTGTTACTGTGTGTCACTTTCAGCCACTCCACCCCCAATCTATTTGCCAAATACTGCAAGAGGTTTCTGAGAGGTTCTAAATTATTGACAATGCTAGGGAAGACGCTTTGGAAAACATCAAGCAAAAAAATCAGCTCTCCATAGCTAGTGCAAACACTTGGTCATGAGTAGTTAGTTTCCTTTTTAAGTCCAAAGGAGAAGGGGGGGGGGCCTGCCTCTGCTAAGTAATAATGATATTCACAGAACAACATTCACTGAAATTCCAAAGTTCAGGGATCTGTCCAGTTTTACTCACCCCTAGCCATCTTGCTCCTTTATTGGCAGCCTGTTGAATCTGGACTCTTTTGAGGGTGACATGGTAAACAGCTCCTTCCTCTACCTCTTCACCCCAGTCCTGAATCGAGCTCTGCCAGGGATAGGATAAAGAGAAAGAAAAAGAGTATTTTTTTTTTTCCTCTCTACTAACCACAATCTATCCCAGCTGGTTTGCTGCTTACAGCAGCACTCAGGGCACAAGATGGGCTGTTCAAAATAAATATCCCAATCAGAGCAGTGCAAGACACATTGCAATAGAGGAAATGCTGAGATTTCCTTGGCCCCTAGCCCTTTCCCTGTGGTATCAGGATCCCCGGATTTTCCATTTAATTATTTTTCCTAGACCTGTTCACATATCTTAAACAGTTTTTAAAAACTTTTTTCTTCTTCTTCTTCTTCTTCTTCTTCTTCTTCTTCTTCTTCTTCTTCTTCAGGAAATTCTGACAGTCCTGATTAACTTTTCGCCCCTTAGGTGACAAGAAAAATAACTCATTTGTCGAAAAAAGTCTGTACGTTTATAAACGTCTCAATCATCTGAGCAAACTGGATTTCAAACTCAGACACAAACAAGTGCTTATATGCCAAGAGTCCTCACGCCTTTGGAAGTGAAATCTTTGCGTGCCTTTTTCTCCTCTTACTGTTTTGGAACCCCAAAAGTTAGCGGGGGTGGAAGTTTTGATTTCCGTAAAACAATCTGGCAAGTGCAGAAAAAGCAACACATAATCATGCAACTTCAACTGGCATTTCTGCAGCGACCCCCTGGATTCCCATGTCGCCAGCTCTCCGAAGGGGGTTAAAGGGCTGCCGCCGGGACGCAGAAGCGCTGCGGCGCTTAGAGCTCTTTGCCCTACAAACTTCTCCCCGGACAAGCATCTGCCTAGACGCCCCCACGGCAAAGGCTGAGAAAGTAGGTATTGTAGGGAGAGAAGACGCGCAGAGAGGGAGGATACAAAGCAGAGTGAGAAAGCTTTGGCTCCCAAGTACCGGATCGGATTGCTCCGCTCGCTCCGGGAGTCCAAAAACACGCCCAGGGACAGCCGGAGAAGATTCCCCACCAGGGCAGCCTGGGGAGAGGCAGGGAGCTCTCGTTACCATTTTAGCTTGCCCAAGCAATTTCATTCTCAGTTTTCTCTCCGGTTGGTGGACGCCGCATGGTGCGCCCTGCTCCGAGGCCAACGCAGCGTCCGCCTGCCGGGCTCAGCCCGCGCCGGGTCCGAGCGGCCCGGCACCGACACAGACACGCGCCGCGCTGCCCGCCGCCCGCCGCCGGTGCGCGCGACTCGGCCACAAAGAGAGCGCGGCGGCGGCGGGCGCGCAGACTCCTCCCCACGCCGCTCCGTGATGTCAGGCTTTCCTGTTTGTGCTTGCGAGCGCACTCTCCCCGTCTTCAGCCCGTGGATAAAGTCAGCATGAAATCATGTCTCCAGCTCCGAAGGGATGGGGAAACAACCCTTTCAAGTTTATCAGGTTTTCCTGATGGCTACCAGGTGCCAAAACAGAACCATGTGTGGACGGGGGTGCGAGCCCGCGCCTCTTCTCCTTCCTGAAAGAAACGCCTCTGTTAACCATTGTGAATTTAGATCGCTTAAGTCAGAGTGAACTTGGGAAAGCAGCAGTTGTAGAAACCAGGAAGTTGTTCCTTAGGACAAAAGAATAGGGGAGAGGATACCTGGGTACCCAAAAACCATGCCCGGGGGCTGGACCCTGTCCTGCACCGGCAGACTCCCAACAGGAAATCGCTCTGGACTTCTTTCCACCACTCCGTCTGATAAGACTCAAATACTGAATCGCTGGCTGCTGTGGGTGGGAAGGGGACAAAGCCCAGTGGGGCTCTGCTGCCCCTGACAGTAGGAAAAAGGGATATCGGTGGCCCTGGAGGTTCTGCACATCTCTGCGAGTAGCGCTATGGGGTGAGTCGGTTCTGCGTAGGACGGAAAGGACAGGCAGTAACTGCGGGGAAGAGTTCTTCAGAGGATGCCTGCCTGCCATCGGGAATTTTATCATAACGGACAATCAGTGTCAGGATAAATCTTGATCACATTTCTAAGATCCAGTTTTAATAAACCAACAGCAACAGATACAATCAAATTTGGCACCTGCCAGAAATGCAGGCCAAATACAAAAACCTTTAGGGTTTGTGCGTGCACTTTATATTATTCTCCCTAAATGAATTTAACCACCTTTAAATTAAAAGGTGGGGATCATTGCCATGCTAAGGCGTAAGACAGGATTTGAGTTAATAATAAACATATCCTGAGTTGAAAACTTAGAGAATCTTGCGTGCTGACCTTCCCAAGAGAACAAAACAAATGATAGCAAGGCACATCAAGAAAAACAAAAGGATCTTTGGACACTTAAGAATACCTCAAGTTAAATTCCCTCTTCAATAAGCAGAACCAACAGGCTCAGTGACTGTTGAGAGAAGAATGCTCTTTTTACCCACAAAAAACTAAGATAAAAAGCACACAGACTAGATCTTCTGTGATGGCCACGACTGGGCATGACCAGAGAGCCAGGGGAAAGCAGGACAATCGTGGAGGCCATACCTGCTGAGCCCTGCTGAGGCCCTGAGAGCCAGTCAGGAGGTCCTGAAGACCACAAAGCAACTGGGGATGGTTTTCCAACCCATAACATTAACTTTACCACTACGTTAACCTGATTTTTATGTAAATTTAGGGATTACTGAAAAGTTTCCACTTCAGAGACATGAAACAGTTTTTTAGCTTCGCCCAGTTGAGGATCCCCTTCCTGGACAAGGAAGCTCCCAATGTGCAAAGGTCCACGTAGGTTTCAGATCTCCTCCCTCCTCACGTCCTCTCCTCCCCAGGTCTGGCCTAGCCACATAGTGTGTCAAGAATGGAGTCAGAATCTGGCTTCAAATCCAGTGTTAAAGTAAGTGTGAACCTTGACACTGTTTCCTGGCACTTACATTGCCTTATCTGTAAAATGGAACAAATATTGACTTGATAGAATTCAAACATGATTGAATGAAATAATGTACACAAATTATCTACTACATGGCAAGTCATCAAAAAGAGTTTCACTGTTGCTGGGCTGGTACTGCACATCTGTAGTCCCAGAACTTGGAGGCTGAGCCAAGAGGATCACCTTAAGTTCAAGGCCAGATTGTGCAATAGAAGTGGTTCAAGGCCAGAATGCACCATATAGCAAGACCTTGTCTCAAATAAATAAATTAAACAAAGTTTCACTCTTTGTATTACACTTCCTCTGAAATTATATTCACCTAAATTTCATGAAAAGCTGTGCTGTGTATGCAATGCACAAAAATCTAAAATAATGTAGTCTTGTGGAATGACATTAAAATTTCAGAGAACCTATAATCCCAGCAGGAGGATCACAAATTCAAGCCTAATCTAGGCAACTGAGCAATTTAGCAAGACCCTGTCTGAAAAAAAAAATTTTTTTTTAAATTAAAAAAGTATAGGGATGTAGCTCAGTGTGAAGGCTTTGAGTTTAATTCCCAGTACCACCCCCACAAATCCATAGACTTTTTAAAGAAATTATTTATATTTATGACTGATAACGTACGTAATTTTGTAGAAATCTTTTTCTGCAAAAGTAAAAACAACAGCAATTTTTAAAAGGCTACTTTAGGGCCATTCATGGCCTTCAGAGGGAGAGAACCAGGCCCCATGGGAAGAAATTCCCACTGGGAAGCCCTATCATTTTCGATGTTTTGTTGAGTTGGATTTTTATTTTCTTCTGTTTTGTTTATGTTACCTCTGATGGCATGAGTAGATAATTGAAAGATAACAAGATATGTTATGGAAGTCATTATGTATTTACTATTGGCTTGTTTTGATGTCCTTTATTGCATTCATTGTTTTGTTTTTATTGTTTCTATTCTATCTCATTCTGTTTGATTTTTAATATGTCTGAAGGTGTTTTCTGCAACTATTTTGTAAACAACAAAGGCATTGTGGTAACTATTGTTGATTTCATAAGGTTTGGAAGTCCTATATCACTTATTCTGGTTTATTTTGATTGATTTTATTCTGTTTTATTTTTCTTGGTTTTATCCTCTTTAAAATAAATTAAAAATAAAAATAAAAGATTGATAATGTTTTTCATGACTGGGGATATAGCTCAGCAGCAAAGTGCCTGCCTGGCAAGCGCAAGGTCCTGAGTTTGATTCCTGGTACCAAAGAATAAATAAATACAGTTTTGCAGTTTTCAGTGTATATACTTGTCCCCAACCTCATCAAGTTGCATACATAAATATGTTCAATACTGTCACTCATGCCTCAATAAAGTCATTTTAAAAAAAAACTTGTCTTGAAGGTATCAATGTAAACTGATAAGAAATAACAGGCCTTTGCTTTGTCACCCTCACACTCAGTGCTACACTATAATGTCCTACGCCCCATCAGAAGTTTAGACATAAGTATTCCTAAGGGGACAATGATAGTAACAACTATATGAAGAAAAGTGAGTAGTGGTCAGGATTCCCTGCTTTGTGCTTTTAGATTACAGAGTACAGACCACCAGCCTCCAAGCATTATCTAAGCAGACTAATCTGAAGACTATTCTCATTCAATAGTAGTAGATTTTTTTTTTTTTTTTTTTTGTCTTTTTCGTTTTCGTTTTTATCAGTACCGGGGATCGAACTCACGACTGCCTGCTTGCAAGGCAGGCGTTTATGCCGCTGAGCTAAATCCCCAGCCCCTAGTAGTAGATTTTTAATGAAATTGATAATACTTTATTCATAATCTCTATATATATTTTTTTATTTTGCTACTGGGAATCGAACTCACGACTTCACACTTGCTAGGCAGGTGCTGTGCCACTGAGCTATATTCCCAGTCTCCCTAAACTGTGTCTTTAGCTATCTATAGATCCAAAAAAAAAATTTTTTTTTTGTGGAGGACATAAGCAAATAAATCTGTTTCTTCTTAATTCCTTCCTCCAACAAAACCAACATACCCCTATTTCTTGGGTTTGCTTATCAATTAACTTCCATGGCTCAGTTTCCCACTGTCATCTGGGCACTCTGTTACAGTTGTTTCCAGCTAAGAAAACTCAGGTTGGACTGGGTGTGTAGCTCAGTGGTAAAGCCCATGTTAGCATGCT